TGTATGGTGCTAAGAAAGGCGATACTAACTGACGATGCCGGCGAAACGTTTTGGAATTTACCACCTCCACGATTCGACTTTGGCAATGATCATACAGTCAATGGACTCCGTACTAGGTGCTTTCCTCTACGTCTTCCTACAAATATGACCATGTTGCGAAAACAAGGTCAAACAACCTCCCTATTTTACGAAGTTCACCAAGCACTTGAACAGGAAAGTTAGCTGACTGCAATTATGCCACTCATTGACGTTCAATTGTTTACTCAAAGGGGCATGCCAGGATTTGGCTGGCTATTTTATATTCCCCTGAATGCCTACAAATCAGTGATGTTGCTGCGAGCGTTGTGTCAAGTGTTTAGGGATTCCATTTTGATTGAAAAACTGCACCCACCACTAAATCGCATGCATTGTTGTTATTGTACTTTTGACATCTGATGTTTTCTTCGCCCAAATCCACAGCCAATTATGTTTTTCTCTGGTGACAGCTTTGCGAACATTACATATTTTTTGGCCTTGTGAACGTAATTCGTTTGAAAGTTGTCATATTCTTTGAATGCATCTTAAATTTGAACCAAATTTAACTATATTAAACGAGATACAGCCTCTCATGATAAAAGAGGCTCTTTTTTGTTCTGGTTAGAGTAGTAAATTCTGGGAATATTAAGTCTTCAGTACGTGTTTTCAGGTCCTTTCAGCAGGTATTCACAAAATTACTTCATGATTGCTTAAATTTTTGTCTTATCTACTTATTTTTTGTTTAGAAGTGGGTTTTAGATACTACCAGTAGATCATATATGTATATGAGATGTATTCACCTTATTTCGTTTTAGGTGATATAAGGTCTAGTGGTTGAATTTTCACACATTCTTATGCATAGAACTTATAGTTCCATTGAATCTCACATAGCCGTGCTTTCTCTAAAGTCTTTCTCATCAAGGTTGGAGTGGACTATAGTTTCGACCACGCCTTAACTGGGCTGATCAGCATCACCAGCGTGACTTGAACCATGAAAGAGCTACATATACTCTCGACACGTTAACCATTAGGTCACATAGCCATGTGAGCCCTTGGATCACAGGAAAGATGGGCATTACAAGGAACGCCAGGCACTTTCCCATATCACTATTTACTGCCAAGCCAAAAATTGGCATTTTATCCTGTGGGCTTGATACAACTCTTCGTTTTCTCCTCTTCCAGCCACTTCAACATCCTCCAGAGATTTTTCACAGCCCTTCTACTTCTTCGTTTCCTCCCGCCAAGTTGTCAGCTGTCAATGATCCAGGTCCTCCAGCAGTACAACCTGAAAAAGCGCTGACACTAGTTCCGGCAGCTCTGATGTCTAGGCCTCCCCTGGCTGATGCTAGAGCACAGGGTCGTCGGCTACATCGTCGTCTCTGCTATGAGATCGGCTTCCCAGGCGATGTCAGCTGCGTCCCGTTCAGTCCGTTAAGGTCAAATAGTTCTCACCGGTCCGGCCGCTTCTCTGCAACCAGAACCACCAACGCTTACTTAACCCCAGCATGCGGTACTCGATGCCAGGACGACTCATGTGGCTCTCCTTCAGCCTGGCATATCTGCGTCCACTGTCGCCAGCCCAGCGGTATTCGCTTCACTGTTTCACCCTCACACGGATCGCCCACACGACCTCATAAGCCCACTTCTTCGTCACCCCAGCTCCCGTCTCACTCGAATCCTCCTCTCTGTCCCCATCAACTTCCTCTGCCTCATCCTCATCCTCATCCTCAATTTAATTTAAAAGATTCCTCTCATTCGGCACTCCCATCCCTGTCTGATCGTCAATCACCACCACCAGCCCCATCACGACACTCTAGAGCCTTGTTAAAACACCGCCGGCACATTTCGCCCTATCGTAACCGCTCGTGTCACGCTCGTCATCGTTCAACTAGTAATCGTCGGCTAATTTCTTCTATCCAACCCGACCCAGATATTGCTCCACCAACAGGCGTCTGGTGTCTCCAAACCGGCTGTTTCACCGAGGCCTCTGGCCTCGGGTCGCATAGAACGATCATCAGGAGGCATCGCCGCCTCTCCTACGGGGATCCTTGTTATCAAGCGCGTTTACGCCAGTTCTTCGCCCAACGTCATGACCTGCGACGGCAATGCCAACAACAGCCATGCTCACATCTTTGTCACCATCAGCAGCAGCAACCTAGTTGGCACAGGGACGCCGGCCAGTCGAAGACGCAAATGAATGACCTTATCTGGCTACTGCCGTCTACGGGGCCCACTCTAATGGGAGGTGATCAAATGCAGCCTTTGTTCGAGCCAAACAAAAAGATACCGAAGCAAACGCAATGGTCTCATCCACCCGCTACTCCTGAAGGTTGGCTCAATTCGAGCCAGCATGAGTCTAGACCTCGAGTGACGGGTGTTTCAGAATTGTCCTGTACGATGAAAGAAGCCTGTGTGAGTGAACTTGAGGGTGCGGACAAGAAGAAACGGACGCCAGGCGTCAGGATCAGTGACAATCGAAGTAAGCTCAAAGGAATCAAGTTGCTCGGGGACAATGCTTTCACCTTGTCCTCCTGTATTAAATCATGTCAGCCTCTTCAGCACTGCAAATTATCATTTAGTAGGCTTGCCATATTTCTACAACCATTTAGATCGTAGAGATGGAGACAAAAATCGTGTGATCTCAGACTTTTTTTAGTTGTCCAGTGTTGGTTTGTTGGGTTTACTTCCATTTCGAGTGAAAGTGTTTGGTGAAGAGATTCGAAGATCGATCCCATCAGAAGATTACGGCGGATTCATCTTGATCAGGCGTCGATTGGACATTCTTTCACATGATATTTGCAAGGCAATTCCTTTTAATTCCTGTGAAAACGTGCCAATCTTTTGTCCGTTGTATGACGGACATCATTAGAGCTGAGTTTCATCCTTACAACCATATTCAAACCTAAAAACTCATTGAAACCGACTTTTCTCCGCATAGTGTTGTTTTGATCTCGTTTTTGAAACTTAAACGGAGAGTGTCCAGCCATGCGTCCTCTGCTCTTAAGTGTTTATGATGACTTTCAGTATCGGGCCATTGACTTGGTATTTTCCAAGACGATCCGATGCTGGAAATCATTATGAGTACTCGAGGACAATAGGAAGCAGGACTGGATATGTTCCACAAAGTCTCTCTGTCACTCTGGCCCAGTTAAGAAAGCGAGGTCAAACTAACACTATACAACCGTTTGCTTATGGTTTCTGCTATCATAAAGTCAATCTACTTTAGCGTAATATTTGTTTAATTTCTTGTTTTTCGCATCCTCCTGAAGGATGTGTGTGCCTCGCCTCTCAATGTTTGCTCTTTTTAAATAATATTCTATTTGCTTGCAAATTTTATGATTAACTTCTAGAATAGTATTGAATGCTCTCCTTTACTACTCCATTTTACCCATTTACTGCACCTCCTCTTGGTCTTATTTCTGTGATAGCTGATCGCGCTCCTTGTACGGTCGGTGCCGATGCAGAGGATATTGTCAATCTGGACACACGACCCTCG